AGTTGCTAGCTAGCTAGTTGCACAGTTTGGCCATCGCTTTTAGATAAAGAGAAACAAGAGACTTGCAATTTTTTTTTGGAAAGGTTGAGGCGCATGGATATTTGACGATAAAGGAACGTAATAAGGTTTACCTCTTGTGAAGTTGTCGGATTAAACATCAGGAAAAGAAGTAATGTTATCCAGGCAAGCCAAACCTGCCCGTGAAACATGATGCCACAGACGCGATTGAAGTGTCGAAGTGATAAGTTATTAAAAGTGGGAGAAATATGACCTTGACGCTTATAGTCAGTTAAGTTCCTAAGGCGAAACACACACATAGGTTGAAAAGAGCTCTCCTTGTGAGAAAGTTGAATTGAAGCAAAATTAAATATTATTTCAGCGAATGACAAATTAGTGTCCCGTTGAAAGTAGGCCTTGCAACTGAAGCACACAGAGAAAGACTGTCACCTGTTACTGAAAACATCGAAATTTAATTAATTTGTTACTTTTTAAACCTAACAGTTTTAATACAAAAACTTATCACTCCGTGGGATATAAATCTAAGCATAGAGAAAACATTGTGAACAAAACAGACGATCTATTTTGATGTCGGTTTGCTGTTTTTTTGTTTTTTTTTTTCACTTACAATCCCGTGGTTTCATCAAACCGGCTGCTTTATTCTAAATGTTAACCACTTCACTTGGAAGGTCGTGATACCAAATTTTCTCCCCATACTACTTGTTCTAGATGCATATTTTTTTCACTATAGCCAGTTGTGATGCTGTGTTAGAACAATATTTTTACTATGGTTGTTGTTTTTTCGTAGTATTTATAGACCACTTCTCTGCTCGAAAGGTTCGAAAAATTGAGATTGAATGCATATATATCTCCAAAATGTAATAACAATAACATTTCAACAACATTTAATTAGAAGATTTTAGCGCCATGCCGAAAATGTTTGAGTTTTGGGAAGAAGTCTGAAGCCTAAGATTTCCGAAAAACCTGTTTCGAAGATGTTTCAACTTTCTAGCAACAATGTTCGGTTTATGTATTAAATAACGTTAACAATTAATTATGTCTCAATATTTTGGCTAGTAAAATAAATATAATGTAATTTTTATGTTAGAAAATAAAGGTGTCTTCCAAATCACTATTTTGCCTGGACGTTTCTCTCTCATTTTATCTCTTTCTTCTTCCGACTTTGCAATGAAACCCATTTGCTACTTTTCAAATTTCAGTTGCGCTGTTACTATGCTACATAGTTTCTAATCTCTGGCATGACAACGTCAACCCAAACCTCGCTTTCAGGAAGAGGCTTGGCTACATTTCACAGAACAGTAAAATAGTCTTGAATCTATATTACTTTTATAAGCTATGATTGCGTCCTTACCGATAAAACAAGTCACAGCTTACAAGCTTGACTCGACCACGCAAATATTTTGAAAGATGTTAGATTAGGCGACCCTAAAGCAGTGTAATCATTCGCAACGTAAACATCTATATCATAATTTGTACGTTTGACAGTTTGCTTTCAAAAAAATTAAATTAAATTACCTTTGTCCTAAAATCAACTTTTAATGGTTTCCTTTTCGTTTGTTTCTGAGATCAATTCGTGTGTAAATACTAAAACAATTATTCTACTCAATCTCGGTGAACAGCGGCAAAATATTTGCCTTGTCGCTTTGTGGCTAGGTAAACATTCTGCCACTTTTCACCTCGATTTCCACGAATAATTTTTTTTTTTTGGGGGGGGGGGAGGTAATGAAACGATTATTACACTCGCGCTTGTTGGATATGAAATGATTATAGCCTACTCAAATCTAACGCGCGCTCGTGTAATGGTTGTTAAGCAGATACGGCTTCTGATTGGCTAATGCGAATTTGGGTAAGGTTAATTGTTAAGACTTACCCTAATTGCTCTTTCAGTGGAATTTGTTCTCGAACTTGTCCGTTACTCTGGCAAAGTAAAAATTAACATAGGATTATATGTAAGTCAAAATGAAAATGAGGCATAGAAACTTATAGCTGGTAGCGTCTGGCAGAGAGCTGGCCGGAAGTGTTGGCGGGTACCCTAACTTGAAGAACTTTAGAACTATTATTAGTATGACTTCGAAAGGTTAAACCTTACAAGGCAACTTTTCATCGATTTTAACCTAAACATTACGGTATAATTTTGGACTAAGGACTAACGATGAAAATTCTGGTAGACATTTTGTTTATGTAAAGCCAATCACAAATTTGTTCTTATTGGCTAGGCTACTTGCTATCTATTCTGTTGTAAATAGTGAGTAGCTTCGCAGTTTAAAATATAATATAGAAAATTTAGAATGTTTCTAGTGGTCAATGTACTTAGCTACAACTAGCTAGTTTCCAGGCATGCCATGGAAACTGAAAGAAACAAATACTGCAAATAAACATAATAGGCTAACAAATCCCAAATGGCGGGAGGCAGACCAGTTGGCTATTTACAAGCATGACCGAGGAGTTGAACTGGAGTCTTCCGAGAAACAATTCCAGCTTAGCGGTCGGCCCAGAGCGGGACCGTTGAACCCGCGACCTCCGGATTTCAAGTCCGGCGCCGTAACCACTCGGCCATGCTGCCTCCTCAGTTTCACAGTTGTTAACAAAATAGTAGCCTCTTCTTTGTGTTTTTGAAGTTTTTGTGGAGAGTATTTAGATCTTAAAGTTTTAAACGACTAGCAGATTTATATCAAAACAATTTCATTTTGTGCTCTCGATTTTTATGCGTGATAGAAGTCTGAAGCTGATAATCCAATTGTTGAACAGAAGGCAAAAGTTCTGCAACACAGATATGAACTTGCCATATCGTCACCATGGCAACGTAAGGTAATAACTTAATGAAGTTGTAGGTCAACCATAACTAGCTTTCACAACTTTTGCAACTAGACAATATATTCCAAAGAGACGTTATACTTGTTTAAGCGTGGAATGCATGCCTTCCGTAGTTAATGATATCTTTTTGCCTCATGAAGTCTTGAAGCACTTTCAGTTCGCAGGACTCGCTTAGCAGATCACACTTATAAGATATACATGTATTCTTCTACCCTTAACCAAAAGAACTTTGTTAAAAATGATACTAAATATTAACACAAATACGCAAAGAACAATTTTTTTGTACATACCCCCGGATATGAATATAATTCATGGTATTCGCCGGGAATATCTTGTTGATACAATTGTGCCATCACAGAAATCTGTAGGATAATTCAAACTTCATGTACTGAACAGCTCAGTTGGACGGTTACCAGGACAGTAGCCAAAAAAATATATGACTGATGCAAAGTTATCTGTTTTGTTTGTTTATTTATTTGCTACCAGTGTTTTACTTTCCCCTTCTTAAGAGAAAGCAAGAAAAACGAAAAAAGTGACTGGGGAAAGTGCCTTGGTTTGCCTGTTACTGGTTACGGTCCTGGTTAGCGACCTGTTCAAGGTATCAAAAAAGCATAAATCTAAATCTAAGGCGCACAAGTTCCCAATGCTATCCATCAGAATTAGGAAAGTGTTCAGTGAATGATTTAAACGATTTCATTTTGATGAGCTACGCTTTGAAGCTTTTTTGGTAGGGGCATCCAACGTATCGGAGTCGACAAAAAAAATTTCCCTTCGAAATTTCGTGGTATGAAAACCTCAATCCCTGTTGTTTTCGAATTGAATACGGATTGAATCCCTATAATAAATTCTACGAGACTCAAGTTCCCTTAGATTGACCGAACAACTAAAAAATTCCTAGCGCAGGCTAAAATTAAGCTACAGAGCTTTAAAAGTACTCCAGATAGCTTAAAACAGCGGTTTAAAGCGTTTGAGAGAATGAAATAATTTTCACTGGATGAATTCGCTCCAACCATTCGATGGATTAAAATAATCATGATTGGAATTTGTCACATAACGTTTATTTGTCTCAGTGTAAAGAATTTTGCTTTTGCTTTTGAATGTGATGAGGCAGGAAAATTATGCAAAGACACCGAATACTACAGGTCCAAAAAGAAAAAGCCATTGCTCTCTTAAGGTGCATTAACGAATTAGATGTTGTTGGTTTTTCGATCGCTTTCCTACCAGATGTCAAGAATTCCACAAGAATTTTCCTTCTACATTTCATTCATACAGTTCATATGCTATCAAGGTTGTTAAGAAAAAAAAACCTTTATTTACCCTCGGCAGTGATTATAACACTATAAGGCTAGTGGGGCCGAGCAAACAACTGAAACAAATAATCCAAATTGAACATAATATTATTAAGAATCGCAAATGGTCGAAGGCAAAGCAATTGGCTTTTTACAAGCGTGGCCAAGGATTTGAACTAGAGGCTACCGTGGAACAAATCCAGGTAGTGGTCAGAGCGGGCACCGCTGGATTGCGAGACCGACGCGCTGACCACTCGCCCACGCTGCCTCCTACACAAGTCTAACAAGAAGTGTAAAAGGTTTTCCATATTTCCTCTGGCGAATGGCAAACTATCTCATTTCGAAAACAACGGTTGAAAACTTTAAGGCTATTGACTATAATTTATAATCTATGTTATGTTCACCTTTTGACACAACAGAAAAATAAATAATGTTGCCACAGCAAGCGAAACCTCTCCACGAAACATTGTGTCCTTAACCTGTTGACGTGATGAGAGCGGTGTCCAACTTGATAAGATTTAAAACTGGGAGAAAGTTTGAGTTTTAATCCCGAGGTAGCTGCTTGAGGCAAAACAAAAAACAAAGCTTCCTTGCGTAAAAAAATACTTCAAACAAAAGTTTAATTATTTGTTTGCGGGAGGGAAAAATGTTTCTCACCACACGTAAATATAAATCCCCAGTTTTAAAACACAACAAACAAAAACAATAATTCTCGGAACTAGAACAAAGAACACTCAGTGAAAAGAACAACGCTACGTAAACTGAGAAAGAATCTTCGGGATTTCGCAATTATCTTCATCTGTCCGGATATATAAACAATAGCCTCCATGCGGCGCGAAAATAAGTTTGGATTTTTGTCCGTGGACATTATCTGTTTCGAGAAGCGAACGGTTTCCCGAAAGCAAAGCTCGAGGAAAACTGTGGAAACTGTCCAAAGACAAATATCCGAGGTTATATTTCGCGCCAAATGGAGACTATTCTGTTAATTAGCCTTCAATTAGTTTTCGCAACAGTTGGGATATATCACTGGGATATTTTTCAGTTTTAGCTGAGACATATTCAGTTACGTGACGCGGCTGGATTAATCGCAGGCAAGCGAAAACATAATGTATGAATTATAAGCAAAGATATCGTTAAACTCCATATAAAAAAAAACTAGAAAAATTAGCCGTCGTCGTCCACACTTTCCAAATATACCGAATTTGGTCATTTAACGTTGTTGTTTTGCAGAGGACGACAAACAATTGTAGAAAGATGAACATGTATAACGCACGTGACATCCATAGTTCTACTCATTGAAACTTTCGCTGTTGTTTCTTTTTATTAAGCTTTTGCTATAATTGTTATTTCAGTATGCATACCAAACGTGATTATTGTTCTGTGAGATAGTCGGGCTGTAAATCATCGCGTCTTATTTTCTCCCGTATAAATGGCCCCTTTGTTGACAAGATACGATGTAATTAAATTGAACCTGGGAACGGAAAAAAAATCTCTCTCTCCCGGCTAGTTTTACCTCTGGCAGAAAGAGAGAGTAAAAATTAACACCTGCCTGTTTAACAAATTTAACAACTTCACTTCGAAGCTGAGGGTACTTAATTCTCGGATGTTTCTTTTTACAATATCATTCTGATTTTAAAGATGATTCTAAGAATTTGGCGTTCTGTTCATCAAATTTGACCAGGTCTAAGTTCCCCGGTTGATGATATCTGTTTTAGTATAACGTTTAAATCACCTGTCTTGCAGCATTGATACAATGAGTTCATACAGCAAGCAAAACAAATTGAACCTGGATCATTGCTGGAAATAAAAAGATTCAGAGGTCGCCCGTAGGCCATTTTGCCATCATGTTTATCGTGGAGGCGCGTTGACCTCACGGTTAGTGCGCTCGGCGGTCTGGGTTCGGGCCCTGGTCGGGAACACTGTGTCGTGTTCTTGGGCAAGGCACTTTACTCTCACAGTGCCTCTCTCCACCTAGGTGTATATATGGGTAACGGCGAATTTAATGCTAGGAAGTAACCCTGCAATGGCCCGGACTAGCATCCCATCCACGTGGGAGTAGCAATACTTCTAGTCGCTTAATGCTACTGAAACCGGGATAATCTCCGGCCTATAATATCAACCTATAAGCTATTTAACTGCAAGTGTCACGCATCTTTTCTTCGATCCCCAAGCCGTTTGTGAATAATTCCTTTTATAACATAGCGTGATATGAAGTTGCGACCGCTAGAAGTTTAAATTCTTCTGGTGTCAATAATACGAAATTGTGTTTTCTTTTAGCTAAAAGTCAAAGTTATTATTGGGTCGACTGGTTCACATTAGCGAAACCTATCCGAGTTTCCGTGGGATAAAACGACTGCTAGTATTGCTACTGTCCCAGGATGTGGTTCTAGTCCAACACAAGGTAGCAGGCTTTTAGTTAGGTTTCTGTCACAGATCGTGGGTTCCCTGCGAGGGGCGCTAAGAGAGCTACATAAACGTGCTTTGCCCTACAGCCTCGGCCAACTCTAACCGCACCATCTGGTTTAACTGGCTAACAAGCGAGATGTACGGTCGCCAAACCTCTCACTAGGTTATAAGCACACGCTGAAAATGAGGGCGACCTCTTTTGCGAGGGTATGCTTGTCTCGATGGATTTTCTTTACACGTTCGATATTTCATATAACATAAACAAAAATACAGATTTTTAGTTACGTTTTATTTCTACACAAGCATAATTTCTAAACAACAGGATATGCAGGCCACTTTTCTTGGCTGTCTTTCAGCCTGATCTCAGGTTTTCAAAGTACTGGTCATCACTCGTCAGCGATGGGTTAGTTGCCACTTCCGACTCCTTTTTACTTCACGTCTTTCAAAGAAATAAGCTGATATAGACGAATAATAAATGGTTAATTAATATAAATGATTCAGGTTCCTGGGGTTTAGTAATGATTTAATTAAAAAGTGAGTATATATTTAATATATGCCTGAGGATATCAAATGAGCTCTTATATTAATTATGTGGGCACCTTTAGGCACCTATTTTATACTTCACTGAGGGAATGCCTTTACTTGGACCCAAATAGACAAAGGAGGGTCACCATGCTAATTTTCGAGATGAGGCGCATTGACTGGACCATGCGTTTTTAGAAGATTTCGTTATTTTACGACGACTGTTCTTTAATTAGGTTACAACTATCAACAATAAAAGAAGCTAATTAGTGAAATTTAGATCAGGTAAAACGTACTCAGTTTAAGTTAAGTTTTGCGGCTGATGTCGTTTTTTTGAGGAAGAATGGGCCTTGGAAAATTAAGAACACATACTAGTCTTGCCCCTCCACATTCGCAGAAAACTTTGGTGGCACGAGAACAGAAAAGGCGAAATATTTGCAACTTCTCTTTTGCTGTTTTCTGTTAAAATGGAGAAAATCATGGAAGAAAGTGATTTATATAAAGAAAAGAGGGGGTCACCGACCTTTTAGGAGAATAAACTCCAGGTGAAGTTAACACACCCGGTACCTATACTCGCTTATATTTCCTTATTAGCGTGCGCTTGATGCATGACGTGGCTTGACGTTGTGACATGAATGACTTGCACAGCAACGATGCGTAAAAAACGTTAAACGGACGTTCTTAAACAGACACTCAGATAAGATTAGATTATCTTTATTTTAGCACGATAAAAAAATTCGTCAGCTAAAAATACCTAAAAATACCCAACTCTATTCTTTCTAGAAGATACCTTTCTTGAGATTCGTCGTTTTCCCATGTTTACAGGTCCATTGTAACTACCAGGCGCTGTCTGTTGAAACAAAAAGTGGTTGGTAGTCCCCAGTGGTCAAACTAGGAAGGTCAGGGCTGGACGATGAAACGAACAATGACTCACAGAAGTACTTACCTTGTTGGGCTCCGGCCCCTGGATCAAAAAAATAATAAAAAAGGTGTTCAGTAGCCTTCAAAAAGGATCCTAGTAATAAACCATTGCCGTATTCTGGGTATTGGACTGCAACTAGCTTCTAATGGATGCTTATGTAGGGGAATATCATTAAAAAGAGATAAATTAATGTTATTGCATTTGAAAAGATTTCCCCGCATAAGCCTCAGTTGCAAGGTAGTTCCAGTCCAATACCAAGAATACAAAAATGGTCTATTAGCCTTTGATCTAAGTAGCAAAATAATTTGATCCATTCAATACTAAATTGATTTGACTGATTGAAATTGAATTCGGTTTCTGTAAATCCGCTGCTCTCTTCCATCAAATGTAATCATCAGTACAGTTCTGCTTGCTCAATTTATAGTCGGTCATTGCTGAACTATATGTGGTTTCGTAAGAAAGACAAAAAGGTACCAGCACATACGCATGCGTCGTACCGTGAAACTCTGCTGAATGAGTAAACTTTGTGTCATAAATTATCATTTAAAAAGGTTGCCTAGCCGCCCATGACTTAAGGATGGTTTACGCGAGTCGTCTGTGCTGTAGCATTGCGTAGCGACAATATCGGCTCTCATTTTGCAAGGAAAACGCCTGTTGCAACTCCAAGAGGGTGGCAAGTTAAGCGAACAAATTCGTCGATTGCTTTTCCGGAATGCCTTCATTGCCAGCTATAAAGCACACGGACACTGGGTTCCTGTTAACCTATGTTTCTTGTTATGAACTTTCACTTTGAGTGGACAATGTCCCATATTTCATTTCTTAGTGTTGTACAGTTTCAATTTTTTTTTTAGATTTCTTAACAGCGGGCAGTATTCTGCAAAACAAATTTTCTTACTGGGTTTCGAATTTTGCGAGGGAGTCCGACATTTCTGAAACGAGAAGAAGGCCCCTTTTAGCCACCCACCGAATGAAAAGTGGCGTTTGCTCGCTCAAAAAGGCCTTAGTGCTCGACTGCTCAAAAGAACTGTGGCGTCTGTGGCGAGCAATAAGTGCTTGCACACAAAATGAACAACACTTCTAACATATTGGCATGATTCACAACGGTGCTATGAGTTACACATTACGATGTGTGGAGTACATTGGAAGCAACTAGACTCATTTTGCAGTCACCCGTTGTAAACACTATCTCTATCGTTATAAGGGCAAGGAGCATCGTTATGACCTGACTCATTCTGAGTAAGTGGACGGGGAGGGCTGGCTTACAGAACAAGTAATACTTTTCGAAACTTATTAGAGAACTTCTTTGTTTATTGCCGTGACTATAATCAAATGATATTAATGCGACCTACGTGGCGAAAGGCGTGTCATTGATGCATATAATTATGATTTGTTTATAGGCAACGAAAAGTTTTTACAAAGGCTGACATACCTGGTTAAGAGAGACTGCCCTTTTCCCCATGGAAACTAAAGACTCATCTAACTACGACAAAATCAAATAACCAGAAAATTTGGCTGAAATTCAGATTTAAGACTGATTTAGAACTGCAATTCCGTTTAAATTCCTAAAGTGCTCCAATACTTAAACGCAAAGGCTAAGTCTGGGAACCAGTGATTTGGGATGTAGAAAGTTGCTAAATAAGTTTGATAGAATATACAAAAGACATCCCCATCTAAGCCAAAACTATATCCTATTTTCAAGCTATTTTGATTTCTAAGCATAAAGCTATCTTAATGCCAATTATTATACCCATAAAGTTTAGCAATATGTCAGGTTTCTGTGAAAAATAAAATTTTAAACTGCGAACCCTGGTGAAGACTTGGATTGGCAATCTCAGATGAAGAATATTTTCTCACATACCCTATGTTGGCATCTGTCACCTAAATTTCTTGGTCAATTTCAGATGATGATTGTTGGAAAGTGGAAAAGTAACTTTGCGTAATATATCAAACACGAGAGACAGTGTTTCATCAGGATATCCAAACAACGAAAAGAGAGTTGAAAATACGCAGCGGAGTACTTTTGACGAGATTCGAGGTGTTTAGATAGCCGATGAAACAGTCTCGAGTGTTTGATATATCTTCTCAAACGAAACAAAAACTAAGGACTAAAAATCTATGTTAAATCAAAATCTATGCTAATTAAGACTGGGTATCCAAACCTCCTTCACGGTTGTGATTTCCTTTATTTTAACTTGAAGAATTATTGATGATTTTGAGAATGTCTGACGTATAGTCTCTTTCAGTAATTGCTTACCAGAGTTTCTAGACTTCTCCTGCAAGATTTAAACCCCAGTTAAAAATTAGTCAGTACATGTGCTAGATTATAGGTCTATATGATTATATGATCATATACTCTTTTCGCACGGTTTTCATTACAACCTGTTACTACAAGTCCAATTTATGTATACGAAAGGCGAAATACATGTATCAAACTAATTCATCCAAAGNTTATGTTCACCTTTTGACACAACAGAAAAATAAATAATGTTGCCACAGCAAGCGAAACCTCTCCACGAAACATTGTGTCCTTAACCTGTTGACGTGATGAGAGCGGTGTCCAACTTGATAAGATTTAAAACTGGGAGAAAGTTTGAGTTTTAATCCCGAGGTAGCTGCTTGAGGCAAAACAAAAAACAAAGCTTCCTTGCGTAAAAAAATACTTCAAACAAAAGTTTAATTATTTGTTTGCGGGAGGGAAAAATGTTTCTCACCACACGTAAATATAAATCCCCAGTTTTAAAACACAACAAACAAAAACAATAATTCTCGGAACTAGAACAAAGAACACTCAGTGAAAAGAACAACGCTACGTAAACTGAGAAAGAATCTTCGGGATTTCGCAATTATCTTCATCTGTCCGGATATATAAACAATAGCCTCCATGCGGCGCGAAAATAAGTTTGGATTTTTGTCCGTGGACATTATCTGTTTCGAGAAGCGAACGGTTTCCCGAAAGCAAAGCTCGAGGAAAACTGTGGAAACTGTCCAAAGACAAATATCCGAGGTTATATTTCGCGCCAAATGGAGACTATTCTGTTAATTAGCCTTCAATTAGTTTTCGCAACAGTTGGGATATATCACTGGGATATTTTTCAGTTTTAGCTGAGACATATTCAGTTACGTGACGCGGCTGGATTAATCGCAGGCAAGCGAAAACATAATGTATGAATTATAAGCAAAGATATCGTTAAACTCCATATAAAAAAAAACTAGAAAAATTAGCCGTCGTCGTCCACACTTTCCAAATATACCGAATTTGGTCATTTAACGTTGTTGTTTTGCAGAGGACGACAAACAATTGTAGAAAGATGAACATGTATAACGCACGTGACATCCATAGTTCTACTCATTGAAACTTTCGCTGTTGTTTCTTTTTATTAAGCTTTTGCTATAATTGTTATTTCAGTATGCATACCAAACGTGATTATTGTTCTGTGAGATAGTCGGGCTGTAAATCATCGCGTCTTATTTTCTCCCGTATAAATGGCCCCTTTGTTGACAAGATACGATGTAATTAAATTGAACCTGGGAACGGAAAAAAAATCTCTCTCTCCCGGCTAGTTTTACCTCTGGCAGAAAGAGAGAGTAAAAATTAACACCTGCCTGTTTAACAAATTTAACAACTTCACTTCGAAGCTGAGGGTACTTAATTCTCGAATGTTTCTTTTTACAATATCATTCTGATTTTAAAGATGATTCTAAGAATTTGGCGTTCTGTTCATCAAATTTGACCAGGTCTAAGTTCCCCGGTTAATGATATCTGTTTTAGTATAACGTTTAAATCACCTGTCTTGCAGCATTGATACAATGAGTTCCTACAGCAAGCAAAACAAATTGAACCTGGATCATTGCTGGAAATAAAAAGATTCAGAGGTCGCTCGTAGGCCATTTTGCCATCATGTTTATCGTGGAGGCGCGTTGACCTCACGGTTAGTGCGCTCGGCGGTCTGGGTTCGGGCCCTGGTCGGGAACACTGTGTCGTGTTCTTGGGCAAGGCACTTTACTCTCACAGTGCCTCTCTCCACCTAGGTGTATATATGGGTAACGGCGAATTTAATGCTAGGAAGTAACCCTGCAATGGCCCGGACTAGCATCCCATCCACGTGGGAGTAGCAATACTTCTAGTCGCTTAATGCTACTGAAACCGGGATAATCTCCGGCCTATAATATCAACCTATAAGCTATTTAACTGCAAGTGTCACGCATCTTTTCTTCGATCCCCAAGCCGTTTGTGAATAATTCCTTTTATAACATAGCGTGATATGAAGTTGCGACCGCTAGAAGTTTAAATTCTTCTGGTGTCAATAATACGAAATTGTGTTTTCTTTTAGCTAAAAGTCAAAGTTATTATTGGGTCGACTGGTTCACATTAGCGAAACCTATCCGAGTTTCCGTGGGATAAAACGACTGCTAGTATTGCTACTGTCCCAGGATGTGGTTCTAGTCCAACACAAGGTAGCAGGCTTTTAGTTAGGTTTCTGTCACAGATCGTGGGTTCCCTGCGAGGGGCGCTAAGAGAGCTACATAAACGTGCTTTGCCCTACAGCCTCGGCCAACTCTAACCGCACCATCTGGTTTAACTGGCTAACAAGCGAGATGTACGGTCGCCAAACCTCTCACTAGGTTATAAGCACACGCTGAAAATGAGGGCGACCTCTTTTGCGAGGGTATGCTTGTCTCGATGGATTTTCTTTACACGTTCGATATTTCATATAACATAAACAAAAATACAGATTTTTAGTTACGTTTTATTTCTACACAAGCATAATTTCTAAACAACAGGATATGCAGGCCACTTTTCTTGGCTGTCTTTCAGCCTGATCTCAGGTTTTCAAAGTACTGGTCATCACTCGTCAGCGATGGGTTAGTTGCCACTTCCGACTCCTTTTTACTTCACGTCTTTCAAAGAAATAAGCTGATATAGACGAATAATAAATGGTTAATTAATATAAATGATTCAGGTTCCTGGGGTTTAGTAATGATTTAATTAAAAAGTGAGTATATATTTAATATATGCCTGAGGATATCAAATGAGCTCTTATATTAATTATGTGGGCACCTTTAGGCACCTATTTTATACTTCACTGAGGGAATGCCTTTACTTGGACCCAAATAGACAAAGGAGGGTCACCATGCTAATTTTCGAGATGAGGCGCATTGACTGGACCATGCGTTTTTAGAAGATTTCGTTATTTTACGACGACTGTTCTTTAATTAGGTTACAACTATCAACAATAAAAGAAGCTAATTAGTGAAATTTAGATCAGGTAAAACGTACTCAGTTTAAGTTAAGTTTTGCGGCTGATGTCGTTTTTTTGAGGAAGAATGGGCCTTGGAAAATTAAGAACACATACTAGTCTTGCCCCTCCACATTCGCAGAAAACTTTGGTGGCACGAGAACAGAAAAGGCGAAATATTTGCAACTTCTCTTTTGCTGTTTTCTGTTAAAATGGAGAAAATCATGGAAGAAAGTGATTTATATAAAGAAAAGAGGGGGTCACCGACCTTTTAGGAGAATAAACTCCAGGTGAAGTTAACACACCCGGTACCTATACTCGCTTATATTTCCTTATTAGCGTGCGCTTGATGTATGACGTGGCTTGACGTTGTGACATGAATGACTTGCACAGCAACGATGCGTAAAAAACGTTAAACGGACGTTCTTAAACAGACACTCAGATAAGATTAGATTATCTTTATTTTAGCACGATAAAAAAATTCGTCAGCTAAAAATACCTAAAAATACCCAACTCTATTCTTTCTAGAAGATACCTTTCTTGAGATTCGTCGTTTTCCCATGTTTACAGGTCCATTGTAACTACCAGGCGCTGTCTGTTGAAACAAAAAGTGGTTGGTAGTCCCCAGTGGTCAAACTAGGAAGGTCAGGGCTGGACGATGAAACGAACAATGACTCACAGAAGTACTTACCTTGTTGGGCTCCGGCCCCTGGATCAAAAAAATAATAAAAAAGGTGTTCAGTAGCCTTCAAAAAGGATCCTAGTAATAAACCATTGCCGTATTCTGGGTATTGGACTGCAACTAGCTTCTAATGGATGCTTATGTAGGGGAATATCATTAAAAAGAGATAAATTAATGTTATTGCATTTGAAAAGATTTCCCCGCATAAGCCTCAGTTGCAAGGTAGTTCCAGTCCAATACCAAGAATACAAAAATGGTCTATTAGCCTTTGATCTAAGTAGCAAAATAATTTGATCCATTCAATACTAAATTGATTTGACTGATTGAAATTGAATTCGGTTTCTGTAAATCCGCTGCTCTCTTCCATCAAATGTAATCATCAGTACAGTTCTGCTTGCTCAATTTATAGTCGGTCATTGCTGAACTATATGTGGTTTCGTAAGAAAGACAAAAAGGTACCAGCACATACGCATGCGTCGTACCGTGAAACTCTGCTGAATGAGTAAACTTTGTGTCATAAATTATCATTTAAAAAGGTTGCCTAGCCGCCCATGACTTAAGGATGGTTTACGCGAGTCGTCTGTGCTGTAGCATTGCGTAGCGACAATATCGGCTCTCATTTTGCAAGGAAAACGCCTGTTGCAACTCCAAGAGGGTGGCAAGTTAAGCGAACAAATTCGTCGATTGCTTTTCCGGAATGCCTTCATTGCCAGCTATAAAGCACACGGACACTGGGTTCCTGTTAACCTATGTTTCTTGTTATGAACTTTCACTTTGAGTGGACAATGTCCCATATTTCATTTCTTAGTGTTGTACAGTTTCAATTTTTTTTTTAGATTTCTTAACAGCGGGCAGTATTCTGCAAAACAAATTTTCTTACTGGGTTTCGAATTTTGCGAGGGAGTCCGACATTTCTGAAACGAGAAGAAGGCCCCTTTTAGCCACCCACCGAATGAAAAGTGGCGTTTGCTCGCTCAAAAAGGCCTTAGTGCTCGACTGCTCAAAAGAACTGTGGCGTCTGTGGCGAGCAATAAGTGCTTGCACACAAAATGAACAACACTTCTAACATATTGGCATGATTCACAACGGTGCTATGAGTTACACATTACGATGTGTGGAGTACATTGGAAGCAACTAGACTCATTTTGCAGTCACCCGTTGTAAACACTATCTCTATCGTTATAAGGGCAAGGAGCATCGTTATGACCTGACTCATTCTGAGTAAGTGGACGGGGAGGGCTGGCTTACAGAACAAGTAATACTTTTCGAAACTTATTAGAGAACTTCTTTGTTTATTGCCGTGACTATAATCAAATGATATTAATGCGACCTACGTGGCGAAAGGCGTGTCATTGATGCATATAATTATGATTTGTTTATAGGCAACGAAAAGTTTTTACAAAGGCTGACATACCTGGTTAAGAGAGACTGCCCTTTTCCCCATGGAAACTAAAGACTCATCTAACTACGACAAAATCAAATAACCAGAAAATTTGGCTGAAATTCAGATTTAAGACTGATTTAGAACTGCAATTCCGTTTAAATTCCTAAAGTGCTCCAATACTTAAACGCAAAGGCTAAGTCTGGGAACCAGTGATTTGGGATGTAGAAAGTTGCTAAATAAGTTTGATAGAATATACAAAAGACATCCCCATCTAAGCCAAAACTATATCCTATTTTCAAGCTATTTTGATTTCTAAGCATAAAGCTATCTTAATGCCAATTATTATACCCATAAAGTTTAGCAATATGTCAGGTTTCTGTGAAAAATAAAATTTTAAACTGCGAACCCTGGTGAAGACTTGGATTGGCAATCTCAGATGAAGAATATTTTCTCACATACCCTATGTTGGCATCTGTCACCTAAATTTCTTGGTCAATTTCAGATGATGATTGTTGGAAAGTGGAAAAGTAACTTTGCGTAATATATCAAACACGAGAGACAGTGTTTCATCAGGATATCCAAACAACGAAAAGAGAGTTGAAAATACGCAGCGGAGTACTTTTGACGAGATTCGAGGTGTTTAGATAGCCGATGAAACAGTCTCGAGTGTTTGATATATCTTCTCAAACGAAACAAAAACTAAGGACTAAAAATCTATGTTAAATCAAAATCTATGCTAATTAAGACTGGGTATCCAAACCTCCTTCACGGTTGTGATTTCCTTTATTTTAACTTGAAGAATTATTGATGATTTTGAGAATGTCTGACGTATAGTCTCTTTCAGTAATTGCTTACCAGAGTTTCTAGACTTCTCCTGCAAGATTTAAACCCCAGTTAAAAATTAGTCAGTACATGTGCTAGATTATAGGTCTATATGATTATATGATCATATACTCTTTTCGCACGGTTTTCATTACAACCTGTTACTACAAGTCCAATTTATGTATACGAAAGGCGAAATACATGTATCAAACTAATTCATCCAAAGTCATGAAAGGGGGCCTTATATAGTCAAGCAAAACATGTCAGTGCTAACATGAGTATTCAGTTGCCTACTTAATACTTCTAAGTTCTATCAACGTGAATGCCTCTTTCACATTTTCGTTTTAAAAATTGTTCTGTTTCAGTTCATGCATTCTTGTCCCGAATGGAATCCTATTGATTAAAGATGTTGTACTGTCAATTTCGATATTTTGCTCTTAGTTGAATTGCACGTCCAGGCAACTGATTAAAAAATCGATAAGCGAAGAAAAATAGAAAAAAAAAGCATTGTGATTGTTTAATTCATTGAGACTCAAATCCGAATTAGGTCGATCGATCGACATATTACTGATAGTATGGGAGGCGCGGTGGCCTCATGGTTAGTGCGCTCGACTCCGCAGCGCGTTGTCTGGGTTCGAGCCCTGGCCGGGGACATTGTGTTGTGTTCTTGGGCAAGACACTTTACTCTCACAGTGCCTCTCTCCACCCAG